TTGAACCACTTACACTGCTTACCGCAGGGCCATTTAATGTTATTGTGCCTCTCGAAAATTGCTTCAGTATTGTCATATTTTAGGATTTTTCAAAAATCATTTTATTTTTCTAATACTGAGCTGTACGACTAGCAACTTCTCTGAATATTATCATTCTGCTAACTTTTCTTCCATAAAAAAATAATTGTCAGAAAACACCTCTTTTTAGGCTGCAACAGTTCTCTACCCGTTAAGTAATGAAGATTGTTCATAAGCGGAGGAGTGTATAAATGAATATTAAATAAACTTTCCATTAAGCATTACGAAGCAAATAAGCTAAATAGAATTCGTTAACGTGATTAACCTCAACAGTGCGGGGAGGGAGAGAGAGAAGTCGCATCACATCATCGTCAGTCGTTATTGTTAAGTTAACACACTTATCTCTCATCACAATTATCTGATATTACTGTCATGCACATGAGCAAAGCGTTATTAGGTACACAAACTAAAATTTGGTTTTACCAAATAAAACTCCGTACATCTTTCTCAGTTAGAAATTTATTAACAATTACTAACCTAACTATTTGCATATAACTTACAAACGATTTCAAACATGTATGTATGTATGTATGCATATAGCGAAATACACTTAAAAATTGTTTCATTTATTCACATGTAATCTAAATATTTTCATCTATGAAACAAAGAAATGAATGTTAAATAGCTAAGTATAATGCCATCATTTGCTTGCTTTAAAGAAGATAAATCCGAACCTAACCAAGGGGAAATTTTGATAAAGATTAAGTTGGTAGTTAAATACATTTATCTTCCAAATAATCGAAAATACATTTCACGATAATACTTAAATTTAACCGAAAGATTTCTTCCAGTCACCTACTAACTGACGAAACGACTAATGGACACAATCAGATGGTTCACAAAATGAAAAAAGATAAGTTTTGAGAATACATTTGTGAGAAAAAGATTTTATTATAGACATAATAGATAGATATATCAATCTTGAATATAAAAATATGCCATGTAAGTGGTTACCAGTTTTTTTAATAATAATGCATTTTATGTTTTCTCTGTGGCTTTGCCAATATAATCGAATGACCCATTCACAATTGGTAAAGAAGTCAAGCACAATAATGCAAGCAAACTACAGTTTGTTTAAAAGCAAATAATTTATGTTCTAGTTAACAGAGTCTGTTAACCAACCTGTCTTCTAGTGAACTAAAAGTCTATTTCAACATATCGAAGGCGGCCCTAGGAAAGACAATTATAACACGGCGCTGTAACTCCACTCTTTGCAATAGCTAAGATACCAAGATTGAATTTGCAAGCTTAACGTGCCCCTAATGCAAACTGTAATATATACTATGCAAAGTTCGCAGAGAAATGTCTCTCAGATCGTAATAACATGACAATTTGCTTCCTTTCTTTTAGTATCTTTCTAATTTGTTTAAAATTGATTATACCTCCGTTAAATCCGATAAAACCTATGAACTTTCAAATCTATATCTACAATATGCGTGCGTACGCTGTGCACGTCGTTGATGATTTGAGTTTGCTTTCCTTTATTAGCATTATGGAACATGTTAGGGAACTTGTTAAATACATAATCTTCAAGAATTTTTTTAAAAATAACTCTTGAAAGAAATATACTCAATTTTCTTTAAATGCTTTAAAACATTGAGTTTGTAAACAACAATCGCCTCTTGAGTTATTTCCTAAATGTAAAATAATAATTAAGTTAATTTTTTAATATTTAATTAATAAATTTGTTTTTCGGCTAACGCCTCAAATGTTAAGTGTGGTAGAGTTTTCAATAAAAAAAAAAAATAGTGATTTAAAACTTTCGCTTTTCAAATTATTTCTCCGGCTAAATTAATGGTAATAATAATAATTAAGAAAGCTAAATTCGGTAGAGACCGACCCTTTTATATGAATCTCCGTTATCCTAAAAAGGACAAAAAAAGTGAAAGAACTATATGTTCATCCTCCACAATATGGATTGGGCGCGGCTGATTTTTTCTACCTTCAAAATAAAAGTTTCTTTTCGTATAGGCGTGTACGTGTTGTAGGTGTGTTCTTTAAAAAGTTTAGGTCACTTCCAAACATGGCAATATCTTCATTTTCGCTAACAGTAGAATGTTTACCATAAATTTTACAACGTTGTGCAACCAGGCAGATGGACATAAGAACAGGTGGACGTATTTAGATGCATTCAAGTGCCGAAATTGGCCAGGAAAATATATACTTTTTAGAGTTTTTGGAGCTTGGTTCTGCACGTTATAAAGGTATTGAAAAAACAATTCAATTTTGTATATAGAATAGGCTAATAGAGGGAAGGCGCGATCTATTTTTCCATTTTTGTGCACGAATGCTACAGCATCGCCCACATAATAGGCATCTAAATTTTTGTACATTTATTTGCTATAATCTGTGAGTAATAAGAAAAAAATAAATTTTTCATTCCCTTTCCTCCTTCAATCGATTTGGCCCAATTTCAATATAAACCTGCGTGCAATAACGTTCCCGCCGAATTTGAGGCCGATAGCTTCATTTTTGCGGCCAGCAGAATGTTTACAACAGAAATTACACAGGCGGACAGATGGACATGCTTAAATCGATTCAGAATTTGATGCTGATAAAGGATATATATACTTTGCGGGGCTTTCGAAGCTTCCCTCTGGGCGTTGCAAACCTCTTGACAAAATACTTACATACATCATCCTTTGGTGATGGGTATGAAAAAAAGGGGAAAGAGAGGTCGAATATAGCTTATAGGTACCTAATTCTTCATATCCACCTTCCAAGGTTTGCCGGAGCGTGTACAGCATCCAGAAGGAAGTTTCAGACTTCTTAAAATGTGTACATATTCCTGACCAATAACAAACTCCGAGTCGATCTATTCATTCATTCGTCCATTTATTTAAATATATATGGGGTAAAAATGCTTCCGATCGCAATAATGAAGGCATCGACAAGACAACGGAAGAATGTAATTATATTATGAAAATTCGAATTCTTGACTTAAAATTAGTGGTTCCTACTTACTATTCCCACGAAAAAGAAAAAGACTACAAGAGACAGCCACGCGTGCGCCAAGTATCCATTTATTTGAGTCAAATACAGACGCCACGGAGTTCCAACAAATTTCACAATTAGTAACCTTTTTATATCGTTGATAGTGGAAGGCACAGTTATCTAAATTTTTAGCACTTTTTCTTGGAAGACATACAACATTTGAATGATTCATCTGTTTCTAAATGATATAGCTGCATGCGTAACCGTTGATGACATATGGAAAATTTCCAAAAGTTAATAAATATATGAAAGCGTAAGCTGCCCTGTAGAAAAACGTAATCAAACTTATAGTTTGTATAGTATAAATTATGTTAGTTGTAAGGTAATATTTCGTCGGTACTGTTAATATTAACTATGGTTTCAATATCAGATACTTTTCAGATTGGCCCTTCAGTTCTAGAAGGTGATATGCTGGTGAATGATATGCTTGCGCTATCTTTTAGGGGCAATAGGGCTCGAGTATAGTCTCAAGAAAGCGAGCTTATTTTTTGCTTATTTAAAATATTTTGACTTATTCTTAGTCCCTTTTTCTCTCAAGTGTTTTTCTTAAGAAAGTGAGAAGTAAGTAACTTTTGTTAGTATTTTCTTTAGTTTACAATTATTGGGAAAATCATTTTTTAGGGTGTAAATGCATAAGTAAGTTTGCACTTAAGCAACACAAAATTTTTTCAACGTCAATAAAGTAAAGGAAAAGCAAAACTTACGTAAATGTCGTGTTAATAGTTTCCATTGTCAAAATACAATTAGTTTTGACATTTTCAACAATTTTTTATTCTATATAAATTATGTATTTTTTACTAAAAAGTGATTAAAAAAAAAATAAAATAAAAAATTTACATATGCGATATTTGATATGAAGCGAATATAGCTGCTATTAATTCAGTGTTCACGGGTTTAAATCCCAAGTGCGTTGGAGTTTGCTTTGGTCGTATGTATAGTGAGTATTAAGTGGATAAAGGCATGGACAAGACTTACGCACTCGGCTGCGGTCACCAGGTCATCAAATCCAGGATTCAAATCCCAACGCGGTAGAGGTTGGTCATAACTGTCGTGATTGTTTTGTTGGTACAGGCATAACACTTACCGATTGGGCACACACCTGCCTCTATCTTTTTCTCTTTTCTCGCTTCGTTCCAAACGTCGCTGTATTACAGAAATAGTGGCCACATCCAGTGAATGGTTGGTCATTTCATAAAAAAAATTTCAATAACGCCCGTTCTTGGGCCAAAACGCATCAATGCGGCAAACTTCGTAAAAATATCTTGAAAATCGCTATCTACAGATTGAACATATGGACATACATCACACGCAAGTATCAAATAAACTCGTGGACGAACAGTTTTCATCAATTTAAAATTTTTTATTGGAACTATGTCAAGGTTAACTAGACTGGTTATTAAGGAAAAATTCTAATTTTACATTTTCAATTTATCAAAGTTTTCCTCATAGACTTCTCAACTGCGCTTGTCTTTTTGTCTATCGAATTTAGCGAGGCAGATATGTTAAATCGAAAGAAACAAAAACACAGTACATCATTTCGATTAATATAGTAATTTATACATTGACCTTTCAGATGTTATAACTGTTATCAGGTAAATAGTCGATGAGGTGGTCCGGTTTGATTGATTTTCGAAAGGCCTTATCCTTGGACTAAAACAAGTCCCTGCACCGAATTTCATCTAAACACGTCTAAAATTGCGACTTGTATGTACCCAAGATAACAAAACAAATAGACGCCCATGCAAGCTTAATATTATAACAAGTCGGAATATCTATAGTACTTCTACCTGTTACACAAGCCCGCACAAAATTAATATATCGTTGTACCACAAGCAGTATAGGATATACAGATAAGAAAAGTTTCAAAGTATTTATATGATTAATTTATGTCTATTATAAAATACGCCTCGAGGCTATGATAACTTTACCTGCTTTTTAAATAAATATATGACACGTGCTTTAATAGATTGTACAATAATCGATTATATGCTCTTTGTTGCTTTTTGAAATTCTCTTTTCATTATACCGACACAATTATTGCCGAAATATATTGTACTATCTTATCATTTTCTGAGGTAAATACTTTAAAACATTTGCGATTTATTTATTATCACTCAGGCACATTTATATTTATAAGCATTAAAACAGAAAGTACATGTGTACGAATCTCCAATAATGCATGAATTTGTAGTTGTGTGTGTATTTAACGTTTGTGTATTTATTATTATTATTATATACATATCAAAAAGGTTGCTTGACAGAAATATAGTTATTTGTTTTGCACTCATTCACTTTGCTTTTGTTTACGTCGAATATTTGATACCTTTCGTGTAATGATGTCTGTAAATAAATGATGCAAACAATCAATCGGAATCATTGTCTCATTTGACTCTATTTCGATAAGTCATTTGAATTACTTTTATTTCCGAATGTCTGTGGACTCACAATATAGAAAAAAGTGTTGAGCTTATAGAGTCAGCATATACAAATTGTATTAATAAAATTATTGACGCCATATAAATTGTCATTTATTGTTTATGCCTGTGTAGTAGACAATACATTATATGGAAAAAATCTCGATAAATTTATTGGACGTAAGTTTTGCCGATATTCGTTTTGTTACTATAGTTGCAATAATTATATTACATTATATTATGTTGTAGTGTTTTGTGGTAAATCTTAATTATTGAAGAGGAAAAATTAATATAGCGCAATTTAATATTTTTTTTGATTTTTGTACCCACCGCCGAAGTAGGTAGAAGAAGGGATTCCATTTACTTTGGTATTTGTTTGAAACAACACGAAGGAGTATATTGGCGATCAGCATCGAATTCTGAAACGATTTAAGTGTGTTTGTTCGTCTATCCATCGATTTATTTGCCCGTGGTAAACTTTCTTCCGTTCGCACTTCAAAGTTGACATTGGCGAACTTCCAATGCATGAAGGCTGTTACTGAAAATCCGCTAAATTGATTAGTGTATTCGCATGCAGTTTAACATTAACCGAAAATATCTATGCATTTTGGCTTTTTTGATCAGTGCTCATAAACGTCAAGAGACACAATAAAAATTTCCTGGTGTTTTCTATATAAATAAGAAAGATTAGCCAAGCCCATCAGAGTATCGAAATTTATTCTTTTCTGTTTTACTTATTTATTTATTTATTTATTTTTTTTTTTTTTGGCTTCTCGTAAGTCATAGATATATAAAGATATATAAAATATTCGTACACAGGCGAACATAATCTTCTTACTTGTTTAATTTGTCTCTTAACTATCGGTTGCGAAGTGCATATTTTATTTTTTCTTCTTTATAGACTACAATTTTTTACTTATACTTTACAACGACATTTCACTCTTTTACTTGATTATTTAAAACGTGAGCAGTTTAAACGTCGTGTATATATAAAAAAAAGAAACTTTAAAAGCATTCATCTGCTGAGATGAAACTAGCACAGCGTGAATCCTTAATTAATAGCCTTTCCAACACTCTCACAGTAGCAAAGCAAATTTTCCCTTTATCAACCTCATTTGTGTCATAGCGTAAACATTTTTTCTTTTCAAATATTAATTAATTTACATGAAGACATGTTTTGTTTATAATATTTTGTAAAATAATTCTCGAAAAGTTCTGTGTTAACTACATTTGGCTTAAATCCCTGCGAGACTTCGCTTAACATAATTCAGTCAGCGGCTTTACAGAGCACTGTAAAATATTTTTGGTTGGTGTCTTTGCTAGTTATATTTAAAAATAATTTCACAACCTTAAGAAATTTTCCCATACCTTTTAAATTTAACAATTTTCCTATGAATGATCTTTCAGCTTGTATACCACTTTTCAAAAGTCAAGTTCAGATAGTTTTCTTCTTTCATTTGGAAGATACTTTTATGTAGCTACACGTGGTATTTCAAAAAATCTATGATATTTACTAATTTGTGCACACTAGTTTTTTAATTTTAACACTAAACGTACCGACATTTCACCCTACCATGAGCGGTCAAATGACCGCTTCAAAAAAACGTATGTATCTTAGTAAAGTAGATAGTAAACAATATATTTTTCTGATGCTACAATAAAAACTCGTTCCCCGCTTTTCGATGTATGTATATTTTACGAAAAGTCAATAAGCTACATGATGATACAATAACGTTTTATGCGAGAAATTTTAAACGAAAGTTTAAAAACGGTCATTTGACCGCGCGCGGTACGTTTAGTGTTAAGCATGGAATCATGCGTCTGTATTAGAAAATTGGGTAATTAACTAAGTTCTGTTGGAGTTTAAACACAGCCAAGGTATGTTAGAATCAAAATAGAATTTTGTGACAGTGGTTGCTGAATAACGTTTTCTTAGTTGAACTCCAAATTATCTTTAAACCTTTATAAATAGCATTACAACGCCAGCTACATCGTTCGGTTTGAAATTTCTAGAGATAACTAAACAGTAACATCTCTCGATTGACGTGGTACCATTGTATTCACAGAACGTTATAAATTTTAACACAATTCTAGAAAGAGATTCAAGATTTTACGTCGATTAAGAATATTTCTTTGTCTCTGCACAGACTTTTTAAAGCACTTTCGTCCACTCGTCGCAGCGCATCGGCTGAGAATTGTATTGCGCTACCTTTTCATTCAAGGAACAATAGTTTCGAGAATATATTTCATTTTTTTTTTATGTAAAGACTTTATTGCGCAAATTGACTTTTTCAACTAGTTAAAGTATTCGTTTTCATATAAAATACTGATGTTACTCTTGAATATTTGAGGAATCATTTAATGAGGGATCATTAAATGGGCTGAGAAAATTCTTGTCTGTCAAGATAGTTCGCATTAAAACAAACAACCAAAGGAAATGACGCACTTTTCATTCAAAGTGGCGACTCCGATTTTTCCACCATATTGGATAGTTACACACAATACATAATCGTTCGAATATATCATAAATGCATATTTATTTAATACATATATATACAATTTCGTCACACTTGGCTAAGGATTGAGGTGTGTGTTGAATTTTGCCCACTCAAGCATAACAAATAATGACATACATATGAAACAAATATATTTCCCATGAAATTGTACTTTTTCAATAGAAACTCGTATGTAGGAGAGGAAACAAATTCTTTCAGCGATTGCCTATTATTTTCTACGTCAAGTTTTCAAAATTTTAAAGACCTAAGACAGCTATATGTTTAGGCAAGACATATTACCGCGGGGGCAAAAATTTAAATATGTCGTTTTATTCACAGATATATGCTAACTTTAGAAGAGATGAAGTATGACCTTTTTTGAAGGGATAGATTGTATCGAGAGAAAAAAAAAAAATGTACCGCAGCACTAGAAAGTATTCGAAAAAAATTTAACGCAAAAGTTTCAAACCTTTTAAGCGAAATACTCGAACAAAATATTATCGTCCAAGCAAACCCCTTCAACCCTTTTAAGCGAACCCCACGAAAATAATATCATTGCCCAAGCAAGAAAAATTCAAAAGAATCAACTCTCGATATAGTGACCTACGCGAGCAAGTATTATAAGCAAGGGGATACATTAAAACGTTCCCCGCCAAGCTGCCTATGATTAGATATCATTTCCATTTCATTTGTGATCAGAAATGAAAATTTGGCTTAAGCCCTTAGGTCAGACGACACCTCCAAAATGCGGCGCAACGTGAAAAAACCTCGTTTTTTAAAAGCAAAACAATATTGGGGCTTTCGACCGTTACACTTTTTTCATTAACTTGTTTTTTTATGGAAAAAGTACATATATGATTACGCTGCGTGCACCCTTATCGGCACACGTTTTAAAAGTTTCGCAAATATTAGTGTAAATAACGTAACGCATAAAATAGTGATAGCACAACGATTAATATGTAGTCTCTAATATCTCAATTTAAAAAAAGGGCTTAGGGTGTAATGAGGACGGTACACGTAGTAAGGAGCTTGTTGAAGGTAGTAACGTTTTACAAACGTATGTTCTGCAAAGATGCAATACTATCCACGTTTCTCGCTACACAGGAAAACTTATTAAGGTTTGGGTGCGAGCCGCTTTCATGCACCTGTTGTAAGTTTTTACCCCTTCATGCAGAAAGAAACGGTTGTCGACCTAATCAAATTACATTTAAAATTTCGGATTGCCCACATATATGTAGGAAAAGTAGAAAGAACTGTATTGGTCTTGCATTCGTGCCGAGAGCTATAAAATAGCTTCCTGGACGTACCTTGGAAACTGATTTGAATGCATTTCAAGGGCGTGCAGTGAAACTCAGGTTTAACTACCAGAGATATATACCAAATGGCTTAATAGAGCGCGGTAAAAGCCATAACACAGTTACCGAAGTGACCGAAGTCTATATATAGAAACGTTAGGTTTTGGAAGCTTCGCTCAATGTTCACTACGGATAAATGTATTAATAATTTTTCTCCAAACTATTATGTTGTCTGTTCCTATCGCTGCATAGTCAAAAACATTAAGATTAGATTGTAAACGAAGATAAATTCGAAAAATTTTCGCAGTGAAATAAGTGGGATGTCTAGCGCTGTCTTTCCGATCTTTGTTACTTACATTCTGACATGTCTTCTGACAAAATTAATGCTTTTTACAATATTAATAATAAAAGAAATGCTTAAGTTTTCTCTACTATTAGACGATCTAAAGCGTTTGTTTATGACGGACGGAGATAATAGACGACATCCCTTGTGTCTCTTAAGCGCTATGCTAGTTTTTATAAACGGGTTTATAAAATCAGTATATCTGCGCTCCTATGAGTTGATATGAAAACGCTTTGACACATTCTCCTTATTTTATTTTATTGTAACGTAATCCAAAATTGAAAGCGTAAAGCTACACTGTAGCGGCTCTACTGTTTCTTTTCTTTGCAAATTACAAAAGTTTGAATTGTGTAAATTTTTTATTCATTCTTTCAATTTTTGTATATGCATGCATTTATGTGTCTAATGGCGTCAATACTTAATATTATTATGAGTTTTTTTGTTTTTTTGTAAGTAAATAAAGTGAACTTTAACGAACGACCCTCAGTTGTGACACAATGGTTGAGATTTATTGTTTTCGAGTTTGTTAACATTTTTCAACTCCTCCCTCGCTCTATAAATTGCTTATTTCTCGCGTTTTCCCTCAGTTGATTAATGCTTTAAATGTATAATTTAGGTGAATGTGGGGGTTGATATATTTGTTTATAGCTCATAGAGAAAGTTCGTGCCGTTATTTAAAAATTGAAACGCATTTTCCATATCTTATTAAGCCATGTATGTGTATTCGATTTCTGGTAAAAACGTTCGCTGCACATTTTCTGAAGTTCCTGGGGGAACTATTGGATAAAGTGATTTTCACTTACACAAATTAAGAGAGCTCCGTGACAAGTGATGATTGGGTAGACCAAAGTCTAGACAATATGCTTCAAAACTTCCCAGCTAAGATTTCTGAACTTTCCCCGTAAGTGTCCGCATGGTTTGGTATAGCCGTGTTGAAAAATGATGTCTTTCTCACTGGTCAATTCGATTTGCTTTGCTTTGGTTCGATTGGGTGCTTTAATTAAATTGGTGGATGGAATATGCCCTTTGGCCAGGTTGAAGGCGTTCATTGTTCACTACGTCATTTCAATTCTTCCAAACACAAAGGCAATAAGGCAGATGATGGCAATCCGGGGTTTGTACCGTTTTATAAATGTTGAACCCCAATCATTTTCG